AAAGGTGCCCTCTCAGACTTGCCTCAGCATAATAAATCTAAGCTGAATCCTGACAATTGCTCAGGTCAAACCAGTCTCTTTTTCTCATACCCAATAATCAATCTTTAAGCAGAGCTGCTTGTTTCTATCTTCAAAGTAGAACCAGAATCTAACCCTTTCTCACTACCACGATCACCTGTTATCTGTATTACTACAACAGCTCAAAACTGGTTTCCTTGAGTGCACCCTTGTCCTCCTTTAGATGTTTTCAACACAGGAGCCAGAAAGATGGTGTTTAAACATGAATCAGATAGTGTCTTTTCTCTATTCAAAACCTGCCGATGATTTCCTATCTCACAAACTGAAAGTCACAGGCCCTTTCCCCACTTCCTACAATCTTCCCTCTTGCTCATTATTTTGCACCAGCCCCACTTGGCCTCCTTCAATGGACCTTCCGGGCATGGTTCCATCTTAGAACGAAAGAGCTTTTGCACTTGCAGTAGGAAATAATAAAGACATCTATAAAGCATTTTACTTAGTGCCAGTGTACTATTCTAAGTGCTTTACTTTCTTTTTTTATTATTTAATCCATATAAAAACCTTTTGAAATAGGTACTGTTAGTCATTTTACTAGAAAATAAGAACAAGTATTTTACAGATAAACAAACTCACGTACAGAGCCATTAAGTAACCGTCCAAAGTCAGACACAGGGGCAGTGACAAAGCTCAGATCCAAACTTAAGCCCTGGAAAGCTCTCCCTCTAAATATCCCGATGACTCCCCCACCTCTTTCAGAATGTCTTTGTTCACACATCACCTTCTCAATGAGTCCTACCATGACCTCTCCACTTAAAATTTCAGCTTTCATCACCCATCTTCTTATATCTTCTCCCTATTTTATATTTCTCCATAGTATTTATCACCATCTAATATACTGTATATATATATTATGTAAACACATATACATAGCTTTCTTGAGATATAATCAGACATCATACAAGTCACCAATTTAAATTGTAAACATAAATGGCTTTTATTATATACACAGACTATAACCACAATCAATTTTAAACATTTTCATCACCCCAAAAAGGGACTCTATATTCATTATAGTGACTCCCACTCATCCCACCCGCTCCTCGCCAACATCCTAGCCCTAGGCAATCACCAATCTACTTTATGTCTCATAGATTTGCCTATTTGGAACCTTTCATATAAATTGAATTATATAATATGTGGCCTTTTGTGAATGACTTCTATCACTTAGAGTAATGTTTTCAAGCTTCAGCCCTGTTGTGGAATATACCAGTAATTCTGTACTTATAAGGCTGAGTAATATTCCGTTATGTGGATATACCACGTTTTTATACATTTGTCACTTGATGGACATTTGGGTTATTTCTACTTTTTGGCCATTATGAATATTGCCACTACAAGTTTCTGTGTGAACATGTTTCATTTCTCTTACATCTAATATGCCTACAAGTGGAATTGCTGAGTCATTCAGTAACTGTAATGTTTAACATTTTGAGGAACTACTGAACTTTTCTCTACAATGATCACACCACCAGCAATTTTTCATTCTCACCAGCAACGTTATGAGGTTTACAATTCCACCACATCCTCAGCAACACTTGCTACTTTCTTGTTTTGTTTTGTGTTTTGTTTTTATAGTCATACTACTGGTGTAAAATAGGATCCTATTACAGTTTTGATTTACAATTTCTTGATAACTAATGATGCATTTGCTTTCACCTGCTTATTGACCATTTGGACATCTTCTTTGGAGAAGCGTCTGTGCAAATCCTTTGCCCATTTTGTCTTTTCATTATTAAGTTGTAAGAGTTCCTTCTGTATGCTAAATACAAGTCCCTTTTGGGATACACAGTATGCATAAATTTTTCTCTGTGAGTTGTGTTTTTAATTTCTGGAGAGCATTCTCTGAAGCTCAAAAGTTTTTTGATTTAGATCACATACAATTTATATATATTTTTTCTTTTGCTGTTTCTTTCGTTGTGCTTTTGGTACATATCTAACAAACCGTTTCCTAACCCCAGGTCATGCAGACTTATTCTTCTAAGAATTTTATAGTTTTAGCTCATACATTTAGATCTATGATGTATTTTGAATTATGTTTACATAATAGTGTGGTACAGGGATCCAGCCTCATTGTTTGCATATGAATATCCAGCTGTCCTACCACCATTTGCTGAAAAAACTATTCTTCCCTCCACTGAACCACTTGTAGCACCCTTGCCAAAAATCAGTTGATCATGAATGTGACTGTTGATTTCCAGACTCTCAATTCAATTCCATTGATCTAAATGGCTAACCAAATGCCAGTACACCTTGATTGCTATAGGTTTGTAGTAGGTTTTGAAGTCAAATAGTATGAGACCTCCATCTTTGTTCTCTTTTTTCAAGATTGTTTTGGCTATTGTGAATCCTTTGCATTTCCATGGAAACTTTAGAAACACCTTGTAAATTTCTGCAGAAAGCCATCTGGAAACTTAACAGGAATTACATTGAATCTATAGATCAATTTGGTAAGTATTGCCATTTTAACAATGCAAGTCTTTTAATCTATGAACATGGAATGCCTTTCCATTTATTTATGTCTTCTTTAATTTCAGTGATGTTTTGTCATTTTCAATATGTAAATAATGCAGTTTTTGGTTGTATTCTTGAATATTTTAGTCTTTTGTATGCTATTGAAAATGGAATTATTTTCTTTCTTTTTTTTAAGTTTATTTATTTTGAGAGTGAGAGAGAGTGTGAGCAGGGGAGGGGTAGAGAAAGAGGGAGAATCTCAAGCAGGCTCCACACTGTCAGCGCAGAGCCCACTGTGGGGCTCGATCCCGACAACCATGAGATCAAGTCCTGAGCCAAAATCAAGAGTTGGATGCTTAAGCGACTGAGCCACCCAGGCATCCCTGGAATTATTTTCTTAATTTTATTTTCAGATTGCTCATTGATAGTGTATAAAAAATTGATTTTTTCTAGTACACTGACCTTGTACTCTGAACTTCCATGAACTTATTACTTCTAATAGTTTTTTAGCAGATTCCTTAGGATCTTCTATATACAAGATCTTTATTTCTTCATCTGAAAGATAATTTCATTAGATACACAATTCGAGGTTGGTAGCATTTTTCTCTCAACACTTTA